TATTCCGGGCTGGAGTGGTCCTGATACTTGTCTTTATATGTCCCAAATTATTCTACAGTCGTGCTCGCCACGGATAGTGTGGCGTGTCAGGGTTACTGGGTTTGGCGCGGCGCCAGCCCCATTCCACCAATTGTTACTGGTCTCCAGGTAGCTATAAATGGGTGATTGCCTGTATACAGGGGGGGCCAAAAAAAAAGTCATTCCGGCCGAGTCACATATGAGCGAAGTTTTCGCAGCCCAGACAGAGGAAGTGGATATGAGTACCAGGGCGGAAGATACCCAAGATCTTCCTCTATAAGCAGGAGCCGGCTGCCGCCATTCACCTTCATGTACACCAAAATATGAAGTCATCTCCAGTCGCGGCCTGAGTGGAGAACGCCTTTGGAATTCACGTGGCCTCCAAACAGCTGCGGAACTTCTTGAATGGAATCACCCATGGATAGCTACCTGGAGACCAGTACTCTTGATCTGCAAGACCTCAAACATCGAGCAGCTCCGGCAACGTCGCTACGGTCCAGGACATCATCTTCACCCCATTCACCAAGGCGCGGGTTGATGGTGTGGACCGGCCGTACCTGGAATGGATGAACCGATATTTTCTTCGTGGGCCCCAGACTGAGGGTGTGCGCTGGTGGCTACATCGAGCAACTCGAGAAGAATATCCTCCTCACATGTCGTCGCCCGTACCTTCTTGGAAACTTTGTACTGCTACAGCATTGGGTGCCACCACATGGAATCGAAGGGCATTGGAGAAACTCTCGCCTACTTGGAATGGAAGGGGGCTGAGTACCTAAAGAAGATGGAATATCCAAGTAGGTCACCTGACCTGAATCCCCTCAATTACCCGGTTCGGGCGGAGTTCAATAGGGTGGTCTACGGTGGCGGAGAAATCAACGATCTCGCTCAACTCCGGTACCCACTCACTTTCGCGCGGCCGAATCTCTCGATGGCGCTCCTCCAGAAGGCTGTGGCGGAGTATCATTATAGTATTTAATGTGCTCTTTAATATGGTAGTAAAAATGTCCGATAAAAATTTAATAAAGTGTAACTTATAGCGCCTTGAAAGTCATGGAGGCAAAATGACTTTTTTTTTGGCCCCCCCCTGTATAGATTGGTTCGGATCGAACCGGCTGTCCCATCCGCGTAAGACCTAGCCGTCCTCTAATAACGCCTTCAACGTTGCGCACGAACGAAGACTGTATTCCGTTTTGAAATATCGTGTTGCTTTTATGATTTGATCGTGAGTGGTGAGTTCGAATTCAGTGTGTCTTCGATACAACGATGCGCAAGATTTTCAAAGAGGTCTCAGCTGCTCGTTTCATAAGCACATCACTGTGGCTTCCATAGATGCCTGAAATTGGATGAGGTGAGAGACTTTTGAACACAGGATCCTTTCTAGGTTCCATACAAGTCGGAATACGACGTTCATCTGATGACTGCCCTAGTTGCTAACTCGTATCAAGGCTTGAAAAGAAGATCAGATTATGGAGATATTTCATGCTGCGGTTCAGGATGGCTAAAAGGGGCAATGCATTAGTGGCGCGCCGATGAGCGCTGGCTTTCACAGAAACTACCTAAGAGCACATTCATTTTTCGTGATCGCTGTGAACCGCGTGAGCGATCAGATCGCGAAGTATGAACACACTCTAACAGCGAGCAGTGATTGATTACTGATAACTTTCCAGCTCTGGTCCGTGATTGCGGGGATACTGCACCTTGGTAATCTCACGTTGCGCGATTCTCGACACATTCAACTGGTCATGTGCCTATGGTCGTCGACGCAAGAAACACTTCGAGTGCGCGTGCTCCAAATGTCTTCTCCGTTCACTTACCGAGTCAAATCTGCAGAACGCGCTCACATCTCAGGTGTACTGAATTTCAGCCTCCGTGAAACGTAAAGAAAAGATCGGGTTGGATTTATGTCGAGTACTTATAAGCAGTTAAATGGATGGTTGTTTTCTTCAGGTTGTAGCCGCTCGAGGAGACGTCGTCGCTAAAGCGCATGATGTAAACGCAGCTTTGTACACAAGGGACGCATTGGCAATAGGTATTAGTGTTGAGCCCTTAAGCCAAATTACAGACATTAAGAACCAGGTGGCATGAAGGAGTTTCTGGGCTTAAAATTGAAGTGCTAACTGTTTCACTGATGAGCTTGTGCGGTAGTGGGGGCCTTTATTTGCCTAGCTTACCCGGAGCTACAGCTCACGGTTAGAGAAAAGACTCGTGTTGTTCAAGCATAACTAGGTGGCGTACAGTCGCTCCTACTTGTCAGGCTGTGGCCTGAGTTGGCGGCAAAAAAGTGGGTGTAGATACCTTCGGTCGCACTCCATGTGGGTGAAACCTTCGGTCGCACCTCCTGATGAACCGAAAGCAACGGAAAACCCCCCTTTTGTTACCCTAAATCACATTCCCAAAGACGAACCTTCACCCACATTTCGAGTTGATGTGTTTCAAAAGAGGCGGACAAGCACTCATCCTTTGTCAAAGAAATCTGAAAACAGAGATATTCTGAATCGTTTTTCTGTGGATAGTAAAGCTAGTGAATATTTGGAAATAACACATATAGAGAAATCCTAAAATATCATTCCGCCTTAGCTGCATAGCCAGCAGGAAGTAGGCTACTGTCTCCAGATGAGTTCTGCTGTGATTCACCAGCTTTCAGGCCATCTACGACCGTCTCTTTTCCTGGGTCGTGCAAAAGATCAACGAGTCGATAACCGTGGAGCAAACATCACGTTACAATAAGGGCACCGTCATCGGTGTACTTGACATTTATGGATTCGAAATTTTCGGCACTAACAGGTGAGCGGTGATGGCTCATAACGTTTACTCACTCGGAGAGTTAGAGCGCATTTTTTTTTTTTCCTCCTTTGTTGGAGGGAACTTCAGTTTTTTTTTTTTTCATCCATTTTCGCACCTCAAACAGCAGTATAGTATTAATATTGAATTTTCATTTACGGCTTTCATTTGCTTATAATTTTTCCTTGAAGCGGCTCTTTTTGCAAATTTTTCACGAAGTGCCCATCACACACATTTTCACACACTACATTACATTACATGCCCCGCCCCAGATAACTCCGCCCCTTTTTGCCGCGACACAATCCCACATTCACATTAAACACATTTTACACTATATATAGATGTTATACCGATTTTTCACACTTTTCATCTATTTTGACAGATAGACCCTTGACAACACTTTTACTATGTACTACACTTGACTCCGCCCCCGACGACTCCGCCCACTTATTAATGGATTTACTGAAAATTTCGGCACTTTATAACTTTATTCCGCGACATGAAATTTTAATGAACTTCGACAAATATAACCTACACATATCTCTCCATTTCACGCTGAGCATATGGGTGGAGAGGTTCTTCATTGTCTTCCCCAGTGGTGCGTCTTGGTCTGTACTACGGGGAAGACGAGGAGTACATGAATAAAGAAGACACAGTGGTTAAATGCCTTGCCCAACACATATGTGCAGAATGTGACTTTGAGTCAGGGTACGTTCTACCATCGGGGAACAATTTTGCAAGAAAACAATACCTTTTCAACGGTTCCTCCTCTGGTACGACCTACCTCCCTCTTCCACGTACCGATCCTGTCTATCCTCTTCCTGAGTTCTTGCATCTATTGTATCTATCTTCATCCATCTTTACTATTTTGTTGAAGTTTTTCCAGATTTCTCCCAAAAATGTTGTGAAAGCGGTGAGTGAGAGCGCCCGTGAAAGGGGAAAAACTAACAAAAGTTCACAACCGGAAGCATTTTTCGTGTGGGCATGTACGACTCCCCCCCCCCTACCTCTCGCTGGTGAATCCCAGCGTACGAAGTGCCCTGCTTTATGCAAACTGTAAGTAAGTTACTCAGTTGAGAAACAAAGCCTTGAAGCAATAAAAGTGATACAACTCGACTTAAAGCAATATCCTTCTGGGAAGCACCCACAAACTTGTTGTGAAAATTTTCGACATCGCGTTGGTTACTGGTTTTGGGAGAAATTGTTATAAAGCCAAGGCTTAGGCGCCCGCCAGTAAAAAAATGCGTAAAAGCACTTTAAAACAGATGCAAGCCAGACTAGCTTGCAAAAGGCCAAGATCACTAGCACTCTAGTCTTCCGTGGCGCACTGCACGTTCCTGATATGGATGGTGCTGGCCGGTCCCCCCCCCCCCCACAAGTGCGCGCTGCCAAAACTTCTAGTCTCAGGAGGGAGCGGAAAAAAGCGCTTATGAGTAATGACGAGCATGAATTGTGCTTTTGAGACGGTGAACAAATCAAGATCTCTCCTTACAGCTTCGAACAACTGTGTATCAACTACTGTAACGAGAAACTGCAACAATTATTCATTGAACTCGTACTGAAACAGGAACAAGAGGAATACGAACGAGAAGGCATCAAATGGTCCAAAATCGATTATTTTAATAATAAAGTGAGTCCTTGCGAGTTGGTTGACGGCCCACCGTCTTATTGTACGATTTTTTTGAGATCATCTGTGATTTGGTGGAAATGCCACGAACCGGCATTTTGTCCGTTCTTGACGACGCCTGTGCCTCTGTTGGAAATGTGACCGATCAGGTTAGTTTTCTTAGACTCTGATCAAGTCAACTGGCGTTGTTGCTCATCCGCTGGAGCTCGGTGAATTGGGGGGTCGTGGAGGGTTATGCTGCCTCACTTCTGTGCGTCTGCGATCTCTCACCTTAGTCGATGTGGCCTGAGAGTAAGTATATGAGCTACTCTTCCACTCGCAGTCGATCTTTTTTCAGAATATCTCTTCAAAACAACTTAGGACACTGCATCGGTAGAAGGGCGCAGAAGAGCGAGTATTAAATGACTACCATTGCCATGGATGCACTCGCGCCGAGGGCACTTTTTTGGGCGTTGGGGGAAATTTTTGCGGAATAGGACTCCCCTCCTCCTTTTTTTCCATCTCCCACCCTAGCTACCATCTTCCCAAATTTTGCCTAACTTTCCTGCCACTTCTATACAGTCTTTTCTTCCAAAAATTATAAGTTCCACAACTTTTCTCTCAGATAGGCGCTGTCGCTCAAGCGGATCAGAGAAAGAGGGTGGAAGTTCATAGCGCACGTAAAAAGGGAAAAGCCTACTTCCTTGGAGGGAAATACGAACCCCCCCCCTCCGCGACCAAGTCCGACTCGCCTTCGCTGGGGCTCGCTTACGTGCGACAAACGCTGACTCCGCGCGCTTGCGAACCACATTGTTCCCTTTACTTAGGCACGTGTTTGGTGCCCATAGAATAGCGTAACATCGCCCTCAAGAGCTCACTTCGCTACGCAACCGCACGCGAAGATGGCCTGTAGAACGCACATTACCTAAAAGTACTGAGTGGACTGTTATTTCAGGTATTTTCTCAGTGAACTTGACAAAAATCTGCAGTCACATAAACATTATACCAGCCGTGGACTGAAACAATCCGAGAAGAGCATCAAATTCGACGAGTTCAGGTGATTAGTTGCTGAGATTCGCTATCCGATTTGTAACGCTCTTCCCCGATGTCTATAGAGAGTGGCTCTCGAGGGATCCACGTCAGGAACTAGGTTTTTTGAGTTCCGTCGGGACGTTTTTGGCGACAAGTGGGGGGGGGGCATTTGGCGCTTCTGCTACTTTGTCCGTGTTGGAGAGAAGAAGCGCTCCATGGAGGGAGCCACAAGACACGGACACAGGACTGACTCCTCCCAACAACTAGGAATGTTCTCTAACCAAAGACGTATGTGTTGGCCCACCTAGGAGACATTTCTTAAGCATAAGTTTTACTATGACGGCTCGAGGAGCCTGCTCCAGCTCCACTAGAGCTCTCAGGTTCCACCGAGTGGACTTGGGAACCGCTGTTTATCGACGGGGGGCATTTTGTACTATCACTGCTTCCCTTGTTCCGGTTTGCAAATCTCACTTTGGTAAAACTTGTGAACTCTTGTAAAGCTGGAGCAGGATCGTCTAGCCACCATCCCAAAACGTGTCAACTCGAGAAAACGCTACCTAGATGGGTCGACACATCTATGGAAAGTAAAATGCCCCCCCCTCGTCGATAAACTGCGCCGTGGACTTGGGAACCGGAACTAGTGAATCAACGAACGTGCAAAATGTTCTCTCTCCCTGTCGCCGAACCGCGCCTTCTTTTGGAAAGCTCCTTCTAAGAAAGGGAACCCGATCCGCTGATATCATGAAGAATCCATACGGATTCCTCAGGTGGATTGAGGCCCATCATTCTGCTTCTTCATTGGCGCACCTCTCTGTTGTTGGCAAGGAGAAACGCGCCAGTAGTAGACGAAGTAGTAGGCCCAACTCCTCCCATGTTATTAGCGTGGAATGTGTTCCCAACCAAAGACATACGAGAGAGATCAGAAGGACGCGGTGTGAAAATTTAGTATTTTTCAGGGTCACACACTATGCTGGCGATGTCACCTACTCTGTGAATGGCTTCATGGACAAGAATAGAGACACATTGTTCCAAGACCTGAAACGGCTTCTGTTCAATAGGTATTAAGAACTTCTATAATTTCTCCATTTCGTGGTCGTAACCTAATCTTTTGTGCTTTTGCAGGGTCCTAAACCCTGTTTTCCTCCAATAAAAGCTTGTACCTTCTTTATTTTGTTTAACTGGAGCGGTATGCAACTCACAGGTCACTGCCGCGAGCGTTTGCAACGCGGTTTGACTTCATCCCATGTCGCAAACACTGTGGTTACTGACCACTAGCCTCCATCAGAGACATTCTTCTCTTTCTTTTGGTCATAAAGTTGCTGTTTTTCATTACATTGTTGGCCGCGCAATTTTACCCAACTGAATCTGGTGCCTTATCTCCACGCAACCGCACGCATGAGAGGCCTAAAAACTGCACAGCACAGCATCAAACAGTATTAATGAGAAACAATTTGCAGTAAGAGCACCCTCCTGCATTCGCTGTTCCCTGATGGCTCGAAGTCAGTGACGGAAGTGAACCGCCGACCACCTACTGCCGGCTACCTCTTTAAGGTAAGCCTCATCAACCTATTTAGCCCCTTTATTAAGAAGCAGTAAGCCTAAGGTCGTTTTTTGGAGTTAAGTCTATGCTAAAGTTTTCCGCGATAATCTTATGGGCGGGAAACCATATGAAGAAGCATGTTGCTTCCTTCTGTGG